AACAAGGCAATCTACCAGGCATAAACCAGGCCTAGGTTTTTTTCCTCCTTTGTCAGGTGGTTGAAGGAATTTTTTTTTTTTTTTTTTTTGAGACGGAGTTTCGCCCTTGTTGCCCAGGCTGGAGTGCAATGGCGCGATCTCGGCTCACCGCAACCTCCGCCTCCTGGGTTCAGGCAATTCTCCTGCCTCAGCCTCCTGAGTAGCTGGGATTACAGGCACGCGCCACCATGCCCAGCTAATTTTTGTATTTTTAGTAGAGACGGGGTTTCACCATGTTGACCAGGATGGTCTCAATCTCTTGACCTCATGATTCACCCACCTTGGCCTCCCAAAGTGCTGGGATTATAGGCGTGAGCCACCGCGCCTGGCCGATTGAAGGAATTTTTATATGGCCAGAGGTATGAGCTAAGAAAAAGGTATCAGTGCAACAGAGGAAGGTGACGGGGGGTGCTGGGACCTCTTGTTCAATTTAACTTACTTGTGCCACTAAGTTTGCTTGGGCTTCTTCCCAAATGTACCATTTCCATTGTAAGATGGATTGCTGCTGTATACCCCCAACCCTATGATTTGGAGGATCTAATGATAACCAGCTGGTTATATGGGCAACTGGTCATACAGTCACTTTATATCTCGTGGTCAGGCACTGAGTCTCTTCCAGGGCCTAACAGCAAGCCAGAAAATGCATCTCAAATGGTAAAACTTTTTCTGCTAAAAATGCCATCATCTTACTCCGGAATCCCAGAGGTCTGGGCTGGAACCCTCCCTACTAAGTGTTACCAAAGCATCCACACAGCATCTTTTCCTACCAGATACCTCTAGTACCATGGAATTTTCCAGGTCATATGGCCCTTGACCTGTTGCAGAGCTGTTTCTTGAATTCCCAAGTGCAGAATATGTTGCCTTAAAAACCGTTAAGAGACCTGCAATAACCTGTACTTTCGAGGGGATGTTCCAGAATGCTCTAGATCACTGAACTAAATACTTCACCAATGTTGCAGGCCGCTGCATCTTTGCAGCATTTATCTCCCACCACCTTGAGTGTAATGTGTATGTCTAACCAAGGAATCCAGAGTACTTGACACTGCTTGGTTGTCAGGTCTGATTAACATATCCTTAATACCTAACTAGTATAACCGTTTTTTTGTTTGTTTTTGAGACAGAGTCTCACTGTGTCACCCAGGCTGGAGTGCAATGGCATGATCTCAGCTCACTGAAACCTCGACCTCCCAGGTTCGAGTGATTCTCCTGCCTCAGCCTCCCAAGTAGCTGGGACTACAGACATGTGCCACCACACCCAACTAATTTTTGTATTTTTCACAGAGAAAGGGTTTCATCATGTTGGTCAGGCTGGTCTCGAACTCCTGACCTCAAGTATTCCACCCGCCTTAGCCTCCCAAGGTGCTGGGATTACAGGTGTGAGCCACCATGCCCAGCCAGATAGTAAATATTTTAAATTTTGCAGGTCATATGGTCTGTGTTGCAACTACTATGTTCTGCCATTGCAGCACAAAAACATCGACAGACAATATGTAAATAAATAATGATGGTTGCATGTTAACAAAACTTTATTTGCAAAAACAGGTCATAAGCCAGATTTGGCCTGTGGGCTGCAGTTTGCTGATTCCTGTGCTAGATTAGCAGCTAAGTATCTATATGAGAGGCTGTTGCTTTGTCCAGTAAGAAGGCATATCCAAGGCTGGGAGCGGTGGCTTAAGCCTGTAATCCCAGCACTTTGGGAGGCTGAGGTGGGTAGATCACGAGGTCAAGAGATCGAGACCAACCTGGTCAACATGGTGAAACCCCGTCTCTACTAAAAATACAAAAAATTAGCTGGGCATGGCAGCGCGTGCCTATAATCCCAGCTACTCAGGAGGCTGAGGCAGGAGAATTGCCTGAACCCAGGAGGCGGAGGTTGCGGTGAGCTGAGATTGCGCCATTGCACTCCAGCCTGGGTAACAAGAGCGAAACTCCATCTCAAAAAAAAAAAAAAAAAGAAGCCTTCTGTGTTGCTCTTTGTGGTGTGAGAACAGAGGATGATCAGTGCTTTTCCACTCAGTGATTAACTGATAAATGGCTCTTTCCACTGATAGTTTATGAGTCTAAGAACTATCTCAGGCTTAGAAACTGGACAAGAAATTGGGATTTTTCATTGAAGTTTCTGACTTCAGCCTTCTGTTCAACCATTCTTGATCCCTCTTATATGTAAGGCAGGACTCTCCTTGGTTACCCATCTATACTGCTCCTAGGACTACCCATATTCCGTTAGCCATCTCTACTTTGACTTTGCTACCCTTGAGGAAATTTACTCACCTTGCTTGTGAGAGTTAAGCATGTCAGGATCCTATCATTCCCCTCCTGCTACTAGGAAACCACTTTCTTTTACATCTTCTATCAGCTTCAATCTACAGAGCTTTTACAACTTTTATCAGCTTCAATCTATAGCCACTTCTAAATTTCTCAAAGATGTTGGTGGCCCTTCATCAGTGCCTTTCCTATTGCCTTTACTGAAAAGTAATTCCCAGGTCTTTCTGGGGTAGAACTTGACATTCATTCTTGCATGCCCACTTTCTCTAAGTCTTTTGACCCTTTTTGTGTGGTCTGCCTTCTCCACTTCATCCAATATGGGCCAATGTTTTGTCCTAGCTCCCCCCAAACCATGTTAACATCATAATATAACTACCTCCTGGGGCTTTGACAAGATCTTCCAGAGTCACAGGAAAATGTCTCAATTATCACAAAGACAATATGAATTCAGTTCTTAATTCGTAAAGCCACCTATACAATCACAAATTTGTTATCTAACACATTTAATTTTGGAACAAAGGAGCAACTCCTTTAAAGTTTGAGAGCCGCATAAATATTTCATATACAGCTTAAACCTATGCTTTGTAAGCGTTGATTTTAAGCAGCAGAAAAGGAAGCTTAGAGAAATGCTAGAGAAGTCCTTACTAGCGACACATTCTTGCTGAAGAACAAGTTCTCTGGAAGTGAAACTCTCAAATAAGAGAGAACAAGAGGTACAGATAGGTATCAGTTTGGCTAGGATCTTTAGAGAGACTGAGGGCCCCAGAACAGTGCTACGCAAAGGTGATTTGCAGACTTGTGCTGGTCTGTGAACACTTTTTTTTTAAACCAGTCTGTGACATGATGAATTAGAAATTGAGAGTGTTGGCCGGGCATGGTGGCTCAAGCCTGTCATCCCAGCACTTTGGGAGGCCGAGGCGGGTGGATCACGAGGTCGAGAGATCGAGACCATCCTGGTCAACAAGGTGAAACCCCGTCTCTACTAAAAATACAAAAAATTAGCTGGGCATGGTGGCGCGTGCCTGTAATCCCAGCTACTCAGGAGGCTGAGGCAGGAGAATTGCCTGAACCCAGGAGGCAGAGGTTGCGGTGAGCCAAGGTCGCGCCATTGCACTCCAGCCTGGGTAACAAGAGCGAAACTCCGTCTCAAAAAAAAAAAGAAGAAATTGAGAGTGTTTAAAAACTTTTTAGCACTTTAATATTGCTGTGATATCCAAGTACATGATCAATGGACTTAACCTTCAGAACAGAGTCTGGCCAGTTTGGGTGCTGTCAAACTTGCTTGGTGGCCAGCACAGTGTGAACTCCATACCTGTCATGGGCAACAGGAATGCATATTGATAACTGAAGGATTAGAAAACAAAAAACCTGTTCCTCTACCTTACGTAGTTTGAGAAAAACTGCCCTAGAGTGCCATACCTCCACCACAAGTACTGGAACAATTCCAATAGTGTTTTTGGAACAAAGTGTGACCCGAGGTCAACTTGCTCACATTCAATCAATACAAACAAAAGTGAGTACCTTGGGAATAAAGCTAAAGTGGGCTAGGGCATCTGTTTAGATTCCTGGAGTAAGCCCTGACCAGGCTAGCAGATGTGAGAATCTGCAAAGAAAACTGGCAGGACAGGAGGTTCATAGGGAAGGGCTCTTTTGTTCTTCCCTCCCCACCTCTATCCTTGTCTAGTCTTTGGCTGGAGCTTTAAGGAGAAAATATTGACATTCGGGCCCCATGACTATATCACAAGTCTACCTGTACTCTCCCCATCTCTTGCAGAACAGAGAAGTTTCACATTCAGATCTAGGCTCTTCCATGCTCTGATAAGGTACAGGAATTGAGAAATCCCAAGTAGCCTGAGGCCTTAAGAACATAGACCATGTAAGATCTTCAAGTGGTAAAAAGTTTTAACCTAGGGGCAAGTGACGTCAGGAGCTCAAAGTGGCTCATAATGAATGTGAATTTGCTCTGCTGATACCTATCTTCTGAGTGAACCAGGACACCCAACTAGGCTGACCAGAATATCTACCAACATATGTCAGCCAAGGTCCATAGACCCACTGGGAGCCACAGAAAAAAATCCAGGTCAGCTCAAAGAAAAGTAATTTAGAAAACATAATATAGCCGGGCGCGGTGGCTCAAGCCTGTAATCCCAGCACTTTGGGAGGCCGAGGCGGGTGGATCACGAGGTCAAGAGATTGAGACCATCCTGGTCAACATGGTAAAACCCCGTCTCTACTAAAAATACTAAAAATTAGCTGGGCATGGTGGCACGTGCCTGTAATCCCAGCTACTCAGGAGGCTGAGGCAGGAGAATTGCCTGAACCCAGGAGGCGGAGGTTGCGGTGAGCCGAGATTGCACCATTGCACTCCAGCCTGGGCAACAAGAGCGAAACTCCGTCTCAAAAAAAAAAAAAAAAAAAGAAAACATAATATATTACTAACATTAATAACAATAATGTGAAATATAAAATATAACACCAATTGAAGGGCTTTCTAGATTGAAATACTCAGGGGAACATGAGGAAAGTTCTCCAGTCTCCTTGGCCAATTGAGGTGCAGACTGAGTTGCAAAAGGTGGGTGGTGATGGAACCCAGCATTACAATATTACGTAGAATCAGTCTCCTAATACTCCTCACTCTGCAACTTACAGAAGCTAAGGAAGATCGGAAAAAGACCTGAATGAAAAACAGGCCACACTCCTCACTCAGAATATTTATTAGATTCTGCCCCATGAGGGCTTGCAGGAAAAGGGACCCAAGCTATAACCCTACTCCTTTCCCAAGCTACTTTCCTGAACCAAGGGACAGGATTCTAAGAGAATCATGTATCTCAAATAAGTCAGAATGTATCTGGGGAAGAATAGCCATTCATTTCCCAGACCTGACACTGGGTTTGTGTCTGCCAGGAAGAGGGGGAGTCACTGAGAATGGTAGATAGACTAGATGAGGGGAAAATAGGATGGGCCCTTCTTTATCACAGCTTGAGCTCAAAAAGGTTGGGATAAACAGGTGTTTAAAAAGGAGAGGAGGTAAGAGGGAGGATGGGCAGGGACAGAGGAAGGTCAGGGGCTGGGTTCACCTATATCACATAGCATTGTAGGAAGAAGCAGGGTAACAATTTGAGTTCTCAGGCTGAAACAGGGAGGTGAGGGCTCAGCACCTGGAGAGAGGAGAATCCTAAGGCTTCTCTTTCAACTCTACTGTGATTAGATGCAAAAGCCCTTTCCCTTTAGATAATTCAGAATGGCCTGTCTGAAGGCAAGAGAGCATAATGACAGACCTGTAACCCCAGCCCAGGCTGTTTCTCCCCATTTCCAAAGTCTCTGCCAAGAGAACTATAGAAATACAGAGTCACAAGACTCTGTCCCTCCTCCCCAGATCCAAGAGAGGGAGTAGAGACAAGGCACAAAGACCCTGGGCATAAAGGTGAACATCAGTGTGGCCACATATAACATTATTTTGAGAAAGGAAAGAAAGTGCATGCCCTAAAAAGGATGCCTTCCTTCACCTGGCAGGTAGGTGGACCTTTGATAGTGGCAGAAACCACAATGGAGTAGGGGTCACAGAAATGGCCTGTGAAACAGACTCTATTCCTAGAGAGACAGAGGAAAAACCTCAGCTGGTATGGCACAATCTTGAATGGGATGACAGAGGGCAGCGGGCAGACTTCTCCCGCAGATGACACTCCTGCCTCAGGTCCCAATGGTTCTGCTGACTCCAGATGTTCCCCATGGCTGGGACTCAGAGAGGAAAACGTGTTGTGTTTCACATGATCAGACACTGTTCGCCACTGGCACCTGGTGGGCCCGAAAGATTGAGGGCATCTAGGTCAAAGTTGAGGCCAGGAGGCTGGAGAAGAGATGAAGGGACTCAGAAAATTGCTCATTTTTTAGGACAGAGCTTCTGAAGATCCACCCCCAGCAGCTATAATTATCACCTTAGGTAGAATCAGGAGAGGTTAAAGAATTCTGGAAACTGGGGACTCAGATTAAAATCGAGAAAAAGAAGACATACTCACCATCTCTCCAGCCAGCTCTTTTGGAGGATGGCCCAAATCCTGCAGCTGGAAAATAAGGAATATGGAACATGAAACGGAGAAAAGTCCAGAAAACAACAGAGGATTCCAGAAGAGGAATCTAATGAATGATCTATTTCTTCTGAGAGAGATCACCAGAGAGGATCCCTCCGCCACCTAGGTCTAGCAGCATAGCATCCTTCCCAGATACCTCCTCCACTGAACACCTAAGTGGACAGCACCAGTGGGCAGACAGCGAGAGGCCTCACCTGCTGCATAAGATCCAGCACCATCTCAAAACGAGCCTTTTGAGTGGCCTCACTGTCTGTGGGTGTCTCTGCCTCGAACTGCTCACATATTTTGCACATGACACTGTGCTGCTCCTGATATTTTTCAAACTGCTCTGGAGGTAGAGATTCCCGATGACTCTGCAACCATTCTGGATACTAGGAAAAGAGAGAATGGGTGGAAAAGAATTAAGTGAAAATGGATATGGACGAATAATCAGAACAATGTGATTAAAATGTGAAAGGGAAAGGGATGTAGGAAAAGGAAAAGCTAAATAAGTTCACCATGAAAAGTGGCACTGACTCCAACTAGATCACCTGGCCATGTTAGCATTTATGGTCACCAGAGATTGGTAAACTTCTGTAAAGGGCCAGACAGTGAATATTTTAGGCTTTGAGGGCCATATATGGTCTCTGTTGTGTTTGTATTTTTTCCTTTTTTTTTGTTTTTGAGACAGAGTTTTACTCTGTTACCCAGGCTGAAGTATGATGGCACGATCACCACTCACTGCAGCCTTTATCTCCCCGGGCTCAAGTGATCCACCTCAGCCTCCCCAAGTCGCTGGGTCTACAAGAGTGTACCACTGTGCCTGGCTAATTTTTTTGTATTTTGTAGAGACAGGATTTCATCATGTTGCTCAAGCTGGTCTTGAACTCCTGGGCTCAAGCAATCTGTCCACTTTGGCCTTCCAAAGTGCTGGGACTATAGGAGTCAGCCACCATGCTTGGCTGTTGCATATTTGCTTTGTAGTTTTTTTCAAATGGTTTTAAAAATATAAAAACCGTTATCTGCAAGAGTTGGATTTGGCCCATCCAGGTCTTGGTCTGCTGACCTGTGGTCTATACTATTCATTACATACTTAACCACATTTCCCTGTGTCACTGAAAAGCTTCTATTCCTGTATTTTGTCTCTCCAGTAAAACTATACATCTGTAATCCCAGCACTTTGGGAGGCTGAGGTGGGCGGATCACTTGAGCTCAGGAGTTTGAGACCAGCCTGAGCAATATAGTGAGAGCTCATCCCTACAAAAAAATTTTAAAACATTAGCCAAGCACAGTGGCGCACACCTGTAGTCCCACACTCAGGAGGCTGAGGTAGGAGGATCACTTGAGCCTGGGATGGGGAAGCTGTGGTGAGCCAAGATCATGCCTCTGTGTTCCAGCTGGAATGAGACCCTGTCTCAAAACAAAACAAAATGATACAACCACACAAAACTATAAGCTCTTTTATGGCAGGGACCATCATTTAAACTACTCTTACACTGTTCACATCACAAAGCCAATAAGTAGGCCGGGCGCGGTGGCTCAAGCCTGTAATCCCAGCACTTTGGGAGGCCGAGGCGGGTGGATCACGAGGTCAAGAGATCAAGACCATCCTGGTCAACATGGTGAAACCCCGTCTCTACTAAAAATACAAAAAAATTAGCTGGGCATGGTGGCGTGTGCCTGTAATCCCAGCTACTCAGGAGGCTGAGGCAGGAGAATTGCCTGAACCCAGGAGGCGGAGGTTGCAGTGAGCCGAGATCGCACCATTGCACTCCAGCCTGGGCAACAAGAGCGAAACTCGGTCTCAAAAAAAAAAAAAAAAAAAAAGCCAATAAGTAAATCCTCAGTTAATTCTTTTTCTTTTTGAGACAGAGTCTTGCTCTGTCAGCCAGGCTGGAGTATAGTAGTGCAATCTCAGCTCACTGTAACCTCTGCCTCCCAGGTTCAAGTGATTCTCCTGCCGCCGCCCAAGTAGCTGCAATCACAGGTGAGAGCCACTACCCCCGACTCATTTTTGTATTTTTAGTAGAGACAGGATTTCACCATGTTGGCCAGGCTGGTCTCGAACTCCTGACCTCAAGTGATCCACCCACCTCGGCCTCCCAAAGTGCTGGGATTACGAGCATGAGCCACCATGCCTGACTGAATTCTTGCTGAGAAATGAAGTCAGAAATGCAAGACTGATTAGACAACAACCCCAGAGTCTTGAACCAGTTTATAGAAAACTAGAGCTGAAGGATTTTCTTTTATACCCCAAACATTATACTCCTTATACCCAACATACAGTGTGACAGGCTTTATTCTCTCAGAGACACAACTCTCCCTACTCTGCAACTCTCCCCACCTCAAATAAATAAAGAAGAAAAAAAAAGTGCACTCAAGTTACTCTTTCTGCAGGCTCTTAGTAGACAAAAGTAGCCCACAGGAGTTGATGTGATGGAGAATTAAGAGAAAAAGCAGAAAGGGAAGTTCACAAACCTTTTCTGTGATCTCCTTCAGTGATGGGTACAGCACATCCTTGGAGAGTAGGTTCTGCATAATACTCTGCATGATGGGGAGGATGTTCCCTTCTCCATCCCCTTCATCCATGCCCAGCCCCTCCATGGCCTTGGTTAGCTCTTCTTCTGACATGCCTGAGTTCTAGATAAGACAAATAAGAGGTGAGCAAGTACAGTACCTTCTTGGGATGCTCAGCACTCTGTCCGGTGGGAAAGATAAACTAGCTAAACTCGCCTGTAACAAAACAATAAGACAGGAACAGACTTGGGATGATACTCAAAGCACCTGTCTTTTGAGACCCTGCTGGAGAAGTATCTGGGAGTGGACCCCTTGTGGGCCCCTACTACTTTCTCCTCACCTGAAGGTCAGTGGCATTTTTGGCTAATCCACTTAGTGTCTCCTTTAGGCAAGAAGTAAATTCTTGCTGGGAGGTCATATCACTGCCTAGGAAAGATTAAAAAAAAAAGCCAAGGTCATTTAGGAGTTTAATTGTTTTCTTGCCTAGACTGAACTGGTTAATTGCTTGGATATGAAGTATTTACTAGTGAATCATGATCACTCCAAATCTTGAAAACTATGGTTATCTTCATAGTCTTTTCATAAATCTATTTAATACATGAACTCTGTTTCAGTTTATTTTCCATGATGACACCCACAATAACCCTGGGACCTTTCAAACGGTCAGTTTTGAATAATCTTTTCTATTACTTTCCAACCTATCTCACACCTCTTCATTAAGAGGGGTTCCCAACTCTTTTCCCATTGCATTTCCTCATCCCATGGTTGTGACGTCATGATTGCTATCAACTTTACTAAGATTTCTGGTGTTTTCAAGCAACAAAGACTTAAGAGTCTGTTCAGATATTTCAGTTTATCAGGGGTCTCCTCACCCACTCTCCCTGCAGCCTCCGAGAGCTTTTGGAACTGTTCCACCAGGTGGGGCTCTTCCTCAGCCAGCTCCTTCATTGCCTTCTCGAACTCTGCAGTGGCTTGGGAAGCCAGTTCACTGTCGAATAGTTCCTGGAAAAACTTCTCTTGGGAAGCGAAGAGGGCATCCTGCAGGGAAAGGGTAGCTGAAATGTGTCTCTTACTTAGGACTACACTGCACCTGGCCTCTGATAGAAGCCACAGGCAGTGGCTCTGGGAAATGTAGCACCTCCCTCCTGCCCACTTCCACTGGACATTCCTAACTACTGCTCCTAATGAGGACAGCAAAAAAGGCATCTAGCCATTGACGGAGGGTATGAGATGGCATACCAATCCAACCATTTAAACCTCCTCTTTTTTCAAGGAGCTCTCTTGAGATTCCTCTGCTCAACCTCAAGTCCTAATTTCACAAGGACTGAGGCTGGCAAGAGCACTCACCAATGTGAGGCCAAGTTACCCTCCCCTCTTCCCCTCTGGCCCACAGGGGCCTGCCCAACCTCTGCTCAGAGCTGCATCCCCATCCCGTCCCCATCCCTTAATAGGGGTGGAATTTATACTTTGGCAGTGTCTCCTGGCGATCTCTTCTGGGGCCCCGAAGCATCAGGGGCCGTGGTGGTAGAAGGGGGTGCTGGGGAGGGTTTGGCTTTATCGAAATCATCAAGAGCACCTTCAGAGACAAGAGACATGGTGTGTGTGTTGATGATAGATAAGGATGCAAGCAAGGCTGGGTGGTTTCTGGGCAAAGCATTAGGGCTATGATTTTTCAAATTGCCAACTTACCTCAATTTTCCTCGAGTTCTCCACCTCCCCGAACCACCCTCAATGAGCCACCTACTACCCTCTGGATTATCTAATTTACTGTGAGCAAAGGCAAGAAATCCCTTAAGGCAAACAAGTGTCCATCTCAGAGCTGGGAGAAGAGGATTAAAAAGTTCTGCAGAGACATCTCCATTTATAGTGTCTCCCTTGCCATACCCTAATGATTCCCTAAAAATCCCATACAAATACCCAACAAGAGTAGAGAACACCTATGTCCTCATCCCTCTGAACTCAGTCTGGAGCTCCAAAAAGAATAACTTGGTGAGAAAGCACAAGATCCCGCCCAGCTTCCTGTTGGTACTGGTACCAGCACAGACTGAGGGACTACACACTGCATTCCATGTGAAGGCATTAAACTCTCTTCTCTTATTCTCCAGTTTAGTGCTCCCCCACAGCCTCCTAGAGCTCCCTTTGGTCTGATCTCTGCAGATAACCATACGCTAATTCACACAGTCATTTGGCACTCCTCAGGGTTTCAGTTTATTTTTCTGCCTGCCCACATCTCTGTGACTGAACTAGAGATTACAAATTCACCTCTGCCCTGAAAAGCCTGTGTCCTCACCACCACTCTGCTTGCCAGGCCTAGGGAGAGGGCACTGGCCCCACTCTGGGCAGGAAACCAACAGGGGAGTGGAGAATAATGCTAAGAAAACATGCACCGTCTTTCAGGAGGGTGAACTGCTTTCCTCTGAAATCACCTCATCCTCAGTTTCTCAAAATAAGGGAAAGGAGTCCGCTTGAGCTACTGACAAGATGAAAGAACCGTAAGGGGCCTAGCGAGAGAAAGAAAAAAGGACTAGGAGGAGAAAATTGTCTTTCGTGCTAAGGAAGACAGGACGAGACACAGAAGGACGAGCCACGAGCTTGCTGGGAGTTAATGTAAGCAATCAGTGAATATGTGGTTCGCCACCCAACAAGAACCAAATGCTGCTGCCGCTGCTGAAGGCAGGGAAGTTGGACTTTAAAAACTTAGTAACCTAAAGGAAGAGGAGTTTGAAGAGGTATCGTGAAACGCCATCCTGCGTTAAGAGCCACAATCTAGACCACTGAGGGACCCCTGGTGAGCTCCCCAGCTCCAGTCGCGGAGGTGGGGCAGGATGACCCAGAGATTTTTGGGGGGCTCGCGGTCACTCTCCGCCCCCATCTAGCCTTTGGAGAGCCTCTCCTGCTCCTTCCCTAATATCTCAGGTTAACTTAACCTCCTGAATGGGTCCTCACACCTGCCCCCTTCGGCTCTTTCCCACTATGAGCTCTTACTTTCCAGAAGCTCCTCCAATTCCCTGTCCGTTTCGGCCCCGACACCACATTCTTCCTCGGCGGCCGCCATCTTGCTACCTCTGACTTGCCGTAGGAGGCGGGACCCCCTCGGCGCTGCCACGCCCCCGCCCCTTCGCTCCCGCCCTCTTCTGCCTCGGGCAACCAATGGAATTGTTGGCCAGTGCGGAACCGCCATTTTTAAAGGGCCAGGAAGCTTTCACTTACTGTGTATTGGGTATTTCTCCCCCTTTCGCCTGAGAACCGTAGAATTAGGGATAAGATCCTGTTATTTTCTGCCTGGTTTTAGAGGCCCGGAGTCCCAAATTACCTGGAGACGCTCTTTCATTATTTTTTCCTGAGCTGGGTGAGTAGGCCAGATGGGACAAACTGCCTACAAATAACCACAATCTATACATATATAATTGAGAAGACAGTTATGGTACGTAACATACCACTTTCTCTCACTTTTTTTTTTTTTTTTTTTTTTTTTTTTTTGAGATGGAGTCTCGCTCTGTCGCCCAGGCTGGAGTGCAGTGGTGCCATCTCGGCTCATTGCAGCCTCAGCCTCCCGCGTTCAAGCTATTTTCCTGCCTCAGCCTCCCAGTTAGCTGGGATTACAGGCGTGCGGCACCACGTCCGGCAACTTTTTGTATTTTTAGTAGAGACGGGGGTTTCACTATGTTGGGCAGGGTGGTTGGCCAGGCTGGTCTCGAACTCCTGACCTCAGGTGATCCGCCCACCTCAGCTTTCCAAAGTGCTGGGATTTACAGGCATGAGCCACTGCGCCCGGCCTCACTTCATTATTTCACTCAAATGTTATCTTTTCTGAAACGCTTTCCTTGGCCATTCCCATTCCTTTTCTTGCTAACATTGAACACTATCTGACATACTTACTATGTACTGTACTTGTTTATTCTCCGCTCCCCACTCTGCAGAATTTAAGCACCATGAATACAAAGATTTTTCGTCTGTTGTCTTCACTGCTGCAAAGCCCAACTCCTAGGCTAGGGCTTAAAACTTAGTAGGCACTCATTGGCCACTCTGCTCTCCTAGTCCCTAATCAGACATATTTGTCTGCCCAATCTAGTGGCATCTCTCATTTCCTATTTTCTATTAGAACTGTTTGATTAAAGGACACAGGGCCAGGAACTTAGAACTCAGTGTTAGAAAGAGAGCTTCTGAGACCTCGGACTGAGCAGGAGGGCAATTCAAATGTAGCTGTAATAAACTTCCTTTCCCTGATCTATCTCCTTTTCTCCACCCAGAACCCAGCTTCCAACTGAGTGAACAATGGGATGTTCAGATAGAGGTAACTCTAGACTTCCCTTTCCTCTTTTGGAATTGTTCTGTTCAGATCTGTCAGAATGTAGCAACTGTTTCACATAAAAATCTGTTTTAGCACTTAGAGAGCACCTACTGTTAAGGTCTTGTGCTGGACACAGCGAGGATAGGGGGATAAATCAGGACCAGCCTCTGCTGTAAGGTAGCTAAGTGGGGGTAAGCTGGAGGCACGATGAGATATACACACAGTAAGTATGATACAAGGTAATAATTTTAAATGAAAAAAAATAATGTGTTAAGTCACCTCATCATTTTCATTCTTAGCTTCCTAAACACACATTTAAGTAGTGCATCAAGCACCGGATCAGGCACTTTGTCCTTCACAGATAGGGCACAGACTTGTAAAATAGTATGTGTAAAACTGGTTTTCCTACAACCACAAGTAGTGTGTTTTGGGATAAAAACGTATTTAACTGAAAGCTATAAAACCTAAGTTTCAGCCCCAATTCTGCCATTAAATTACCTTCTAAGTCCTTTAAAATTCTAAACTTCTGTAATCAAATCCTTTCCTGATGAACATTTTTCCCCAACACCTGCAACATAATTTATTCCAGGCTGTCTCATTCAACTTCAAACTGCTTAAATATATGTCTCCAAAATGGCTATAGCTATAACAAGCACTAAAAAAAAAAAGAAAGAAAGAAAAGAAAAAACTTGTCTATCAACAGGCATCTCTATTGGCTTTATTTTTCGAAACAGAGTTTCATTGTTGCCCAGGCTGGAGTGCAGTGGTGCAATTTTGGCTCACTGTAGCCTCCATCCAAGTGATTCTTCTGTCTCAGGCACTGGAGTAGCTACAGGCTCGTGCCACCACACCCAGCTAATTTTTGTATTTTTAGTAGAGATGGGGTTTCACTATGTTGGTCAGGCTGGTCTTGAACTCCTGACCTCAAGTGATACGCTCAGCTTGGCCCCCCAAAGTACTGGGATTACAGGTGTGAGCCACTACACTCAACTGACTTTAAATTAATGTAATACAGCATGTTAATTAAAAAACATTAATTAAAATGGAGTAAAAAGCATCATTCTTTCTTTGCATTATTTCTTTTTTTTTTTTTTTTTTTTTTTTTTTTTTTTTGAGACGGAGTTTCGCTCTTGTTACCCAGGCTGGAGTGCAATGGCGCGATCTCGGCTCACCGCAACCTCCGCCTCCTGGGTTCAGGCAATTCTCCTGCCTCAGCCTCCTGAGTAGCTGGGATTACAGGCACGTGCCACCATGCCCAGCTAATTTTTTGTATTTTTAGTAGAGACGGGGTTTCACTATGTTGACCGGGATGGTCTCGATCTCTCGACCTCGTGATCCACCCGCCTCGGCCTCCCAAAGTGCTGGGATTACAGGCTTGAGCCACCGCGCCCGGCCTGCATTATTTCTTAAACTTGTTTCTGCTTTTCTATTTTTACTACTAATATTTCTAACATGTCATCTCTGTGTTTACTGACATACCGACTGCTCCTTCTGCCTTTCTAATATATAGTGAATACTGCTGAATAACAGTATTTCATAGCACTTTTTTTTTTTTTGAGATGGGAGTTTGGCTCTTTGTTACCCAGGCTGGAGTGCAATGGTGTGATCTCGGCTCACCGCAACCTCCACCTCCTGGGTTCAGGCAATTCTCCTGCCTCAGCCTCCCAAGTAGCTGGGACTACATGCACGCGCTACCATGCCCAGCTAATTTTTTGTATTTGTAGAGGTGACGGGGTTTCACCATGTTGACCAGGATGGTCTTGATCTCTTGACCTCGTGATCCACCCGCCTTGGCCTCCCCAAGTGCTGGGATTACAGGCGTGAGCCACCACGCTCAGCCCTCATAGCACTTTCATATGACTCTCTTCCTTAAGGATTTTTTTTTTTTGAGACGGAGTTTCCGCTCTTGTTACCCAGGCTGGAGTGCAATGGCGCGATCTCGGCTCACCGCAACCTCCGCCTCCTGGGTTCAGGCGATTCTCCTGCCTCAGCCTCCTGAGTAGCTGGGATTACAGGCCGGCGCCACCATGCCCAGCTAATTTTTTGTATTTTTAGTAGAGACGGGGTTTCACCATGTTGACGAGGATGATCTCGATCTCTTGACCTCGTGATCCACCCGTCTTGGCCTCCCAAAGTGCTGGGATTATAGGCGTGAGCCACCGCGCCCGGCCCTTCCTTAAGGATTTAATGGCTCTCCCCAGTTTATTGAACAACTTCTGATTCTTGCCTGGAATTCACAATTATTTCACATACATCCATCTTGTTTCCCTGATTATGGAAGAATCAAGAGGCAGGAACTGTCCGGTTTTTCCATATTCCTCAGCAATATGTTTTTGTGTGCCAAATTAAATTTTGTAATTTAATTTCTAAACTTATAAAAAATTTTGCCAAAATTTATCACCAACTTGCCTGTGTTTATAGCAATAATATTTGTAACCTGAGAAAGTGTGATCATAGCATGTACATTTTTGAGAAGGCAGCCTTAGTTTAGGGATGCTATTTAAAAAAGCAACTCTTAAGATAAAGCTAAAAAAAATACAATGTGTACTATAAAGAGAAGTAAAAACCAAAGTGAAGCTCCTGAATATATTGATACGAGAAAATACCGAAAATGTTAAATGAAAAAAACAAAGGTACAAAATTGTTAAATAGTATGCTTTCATTTGTGCATAAAGGGGGACAGAGAATAGCATAGTCAGATCTACTTTTATATAAATAAAAAAATTTCTGTAAGGATATAAGAAAGCTGGTAACAATGGTTACTTGTTTTGGGCAAGGTGATAGGAACTGGGAGGCTGATGAAACGGTGGAAAGATTTGTCACAGAACAACTTTTTATATTTACTGATTTTTGAGTTACAGTATATGCATTTATTATTTATTGAAAATATGAATTTCAAATGCAAAAAAGTACGTATCTTAATCAGACACAGTACATCACTCTACCCAATTATTCTTTGCATATGACAAGCAAAATATTGTATTGTCAATGTAATCATTGTAATATAATGTACTCCTTTTATCTGTGTATTACATGTAAAATATATAGAAGAGTGACAGACACATGGCAGGTGCTCAATAAATACTGTTATAATTAGCAAGAGATAAAAGGCTGCAATCAAAAACAGAACAGGGGAGCTACTTGCTTTCTATCATTTTCACAGTAGTTTAGATCCTCATATATATCCTATAAAAAATATGTGCTTTTTTCTCTTTTTTTTTTAAGATGGAGTCTCACTCTGTTGCCCAGGCTGGAGCACAGTGTCGCGATCTCAGCTCACTGTAACCTCTGCCTCCCGGGTTCAAGCAATTCTCTGCCTTAGCCTCCTGAGCAGCTGGGATTACAGGCACCTGCCATCATCAGCTAGCTTTTCTTTTTCCAATAGTGGATGTTCATTACTTTTGTAATTAAAAATTATTATTAGAAGGAAGACAGGTGCTTTGGTGGGGTATCTGCATGGGGTGAACAAGAACATCAGTGTCCAGGAAATAAATGGCAAGTCAAGCAGCTCTCATAGAGATTTATTTAGATGAGAAACAAAATATGAGAATAATAGTTGTAAAGAACAAATCAATAACCAGCAGTGTGCATTTTGGAAAACCAAGTAACTTCTTCTCAGACCTTAAATTTCTGAGTACACAGAGGGTACCTACCTGGGAATTTATATGTTTAAGGAAAATGGGAGATGGCTGAGTTGGTGTGGCCTAGTCAAAAATGGTATCTTAGTTATTACATCCTGCTCCTTTCTAGCTGACAGGAAAGAAAGCTCCTATGTGGAGAGGAGGGA